TGCAGGGACGAACAGCGGGAACCTTGGATTGCAGGGGAAGAACGTCGTGTTGTACGGATGCTGGGCAGGAACATCCACCCAGCCATTACGCCACGGCTCAGCCGCGTCCAACGCCGAAATCTCGCTGACCCAGTCCGTCGTCTTGGGCAGCCATGTGAGGTTGTCGAAAGGGCAACCCAGCATAGAAGGCTTAAACAAAGACTCGGTGTGGAGAGCAGCGAACTTCGGTTCCTTGCTGACAAACCACCTCCAGACCTGGTAGATGATCTTGGCTCGGAACCGATCCCAGCGCTTGTTCCGCTCGGCAGCATACGCCAACCACTCAGCCTTGGCCTCGTCCAGCTCAGCTCGAACTTTGGCCTTCGCCTCAGGGGACCAATTGTTCCCTTCCAGCTCCTTAGTATCGACCCGGAAGCAATTCTCCACGGCGGGAGCCGGAATCCAGTGGTAACGCTCCCAATCCGAGAACCCAAGATCGATATCGTCAGGATCCCCGTACCCTCGAAAGTTGCTCCAATACCCGTTAACTCGAGCCGTCGGGGGCGCTCGCTGGGAAGGATCAAATCCATGGGTGTCGAACAAACATGCGTGCTCCGTGAGACGCCGGCGAAGCGGCTGCCAAGACTTCTTGAAGTCTTTAAACGCCTTGATCCCAGCAGGCGTGGCAGCAATCCGAGCATCGTCGGAAATAGGAGTCGGCAACTCGCAATTCAAAATCTGGATCCAGCACTTAGAAGCGCCAGGAAACCGGAATTCAGGAGCCAAGTATGGAGTGGCCCAGTTCAACACGTGTTTGGAGTAACGAGCAGTGGGCAGCACATCTCGGGCTGCCGGCGAGGCAGACAGAGAGCGCGCAGAACTTGAACTTGGTCCTGGGGCCGATAACTGCGTAGTGACGACTTGGCGCGATGACAACTTATGGCGAGACTTAGCCGGCTTCTTACCTCGGGCACGAGTCGTCGGAACCTTCTGAGATGCCGCATTTGCAGGCCGGTGAGCCGATGAGACAGCGACCGAGGTGTCCGCCGACTCAGCAGAAGCTGCAGGAACAAGCGGAAGAGAAGCCGATGACTCAGGGCTGGCAGGAGGCAGAGCTGGCGCAGGTGACGAGAGATCAGTGGAAGCCGATGACGACAGACCGTCAGCAACCGGAGGTGACGGAGCTGGAATTACAGCAACCACCTCAACGCGCTCTCCCTCCCACTCGTCGAGTTCCTCCTCATCAGCAGAAGCAGCACCGCCATCAACCACTGAGTCGTCAACCAGACCCTCCGTCAATCCAGCATCCGAGTCATCTCCGAACCACTGAGGCACCTCCGGAGACTGCTCGACTGAAGCTAACTGCTCGTCCGTCTCTCCGCGATCAGCCCGATGACTCAAGCCACCAACTTGTGGATCATCACCGAAACCAGTGACTGGGACAACAGCTTGGACAGGAGTTTCAGCAGAAGCAGCAGGCGGCGCAGAACCAGGAACAGAGGGCGCAGTAGCCTTCGAGACTGGAGCAGGACTCGTGGGCGGAGAGACACTGGAACCGATGAAGCGCGCGTAGACCGGAGAGCCGCGAGGCACCGACGCAGAACGACTTCGTGCCCAGCGAGACTCCTTCCGCTTCTTGGGCAACTTCTTGGGCTTCTCCGACGACTTCCTCACGGGAGACGATGACGCCGATTACCCAGCCGATGACTCGGCAGAAGTATTGCGAGCCTTCGACCCTGAGCGACTCGGCCGAGCTGGGGAAGCAGCAGCACTGACGTAGCCCGAGTCTTCGCGAGACCTCTTGCGGGACGAGAACCGTGGAGAAGACGATGACCGACGCGACGCGCGAGATTTCTTCCCCCGGAGTGGTCTTGTTTGCACCAGCGGGAGTGTCCTTGCGCAAGGGATCCCCGATGGAGTCATTCAGTGAGAAGGCAGTCCAAGCCAAGTCTTCGGCAATATCTCTGTCCGGCTTGGAGCGGTCTGCTGTACGGTACGTCTTCTGCAAAATCGCGAGAGACTCGGGAGTAAGATCCAGCAAGCTCCAATTGAGTTCACCAGTCGAGATACCTGCAAGCAAGATGAGTCATCGGGACAAAGTCAGCAAACATAAACCAAATGACGACCAAATGGTGACTACGAACCTTCTACGGCGAGGACCAGGACGTCGGGGTCCATTGCTTGCAGATGCATGTGAGCGCGAAGCGTCTTGTTGGCACGGGTCAGCCGCTTCACTTGCTCTTCGAGGTCCTCATTGCGGCGGCGAAGGCGAGCTGGTGCGGTGTTGTCGGCGGCGTCCGAGCAAAGCCAGCAGATCGTGTAAGCGCCTGCTTTGAGCAGTCGACGATGCAACGGCCGCCTTGTAGACCTCCTGCTCACGTTTCAACTGAGCTAGAGCCCGAGCTTGCGAGTCTCCGGCCACCCTGACATGATTCTCCTGCCGCTCGGAACACTCTCTGAGGCCATCCACGGCGGCGTTCGACGACTCGAGCTCGACGATGTAATGAGCCTCCAGCTGACGAAGATGCGCGACATCCTTCTTCAGCTGTGCGATCTCGTCGTTCGCGTTCTTCAAGAATACCTTCTGGTTCTCCAACGAGTACGTCTGCGACCGCAACCGATTCTCTGCAGCAGTCTGCGCTGACTCAGCAGAGTGCAGCCGGGCGCGCATAGTTGCCATGTCCAGCGTCGAGCCTTCGCCAACATCCATGTTCGGCTTCGCGGCAGTAACCACTTCATCGAGGTTCCGGGCCGACGCCAGGCGAGAACCCACGCGACGATCACCACGGATGCTCGGTCCCAGCTGCAGGTTCACCGAGAGACGGCCGAGAGACTCCAGCTTCGAGCCCAGCACCGCCAAGATGCGCTCCGACGACTCATCACATGCATCACGGACCAGCTGCTCAAGGGCGTCGCGACGCATAACTTGACCACGACCGCGCGAGTTGTCGGGAGCAGGCTGAGAAGATCCAGGAGACCCAGGGCGAGATGTTGCCGGGGTTCCCGAAGACTCGTGGCCACGCATAGCCACGAAAAGTGGATGCGGAGGCACGCCACCAGCCGACTGCAGATATAAGCAGACGCATCAACGAGAACAACGTCAGCACGAGTGAAAAGAAGGGAGACGCATGCAGAGACAGGGTACGCACCTGCCCGGCATCGTCTGGACGCGGAGTACCGGCAGCCGTCGACCCAGCGCGAGCAGAAGACGACGACCGAGCAGGCGAAGACGCAGTAAAAGCCTGGTCGGAGAGGCCGCCACCAGAACTCGACGCAGCAGGAGCCTGCCGCCAGCAGAACAAGCGCACACGCGTGAGGGTGAGCAGTCGGCGGCACGAGCAGGAGACCGGACGCAGCACGTACCATGTCAGCGGGATCGACGCCGAGCGCCCGGAACGCGCGGGCCAGCGCAGCCTTCGCGGCGCGAGACGACCCAGCCGTGGTAGCGCGAAGCCACCGCGAGCGCCCTGACGCTCACCAAGTGCTGTGGCTCGCGACACGGTGTGGGCAGCTGTGGTGTCGAGAAAGTTGAGTGAAGCTCACGGCAAACCCCGCGGCATTCGGCGTCGACTCAACTGGCGGATCGAGGCACATCGCCATTCGTTCGATGGTGTTCGACGGCCGCGGATTGGCCAGTCTGGACCAATGACGATGACTCGTCGACACTCAAGCTCAAGCCGTAGTGTGTCCACACAGCACCGGGACTTCAAGGACGACCCAAACCTACGGCGAACTTTGGCCTGGGTTCCGCACCTAAGGCGACTCTTTAAGTCATCGGGAGGCCGTCCGAGCCTTCAAGAGAGTTCTGAAGAGTCGGGTGGTTCCCTGGAAGATTCACAACCGAGACGTCTAGATTAGATATTTGTATTGAACCATAGGAAAGAGAAGATAGAACAGATAAGCCCTTTGGGCAACAATGACAGAACAGCTTTTCCTCCCAACCACTCAAGGAAGACATCCGGGCTATCGGTGAGTTCCCGTAGCAATTGGATAAACCTGTTGGTAGGATTATGACTGTCGGTGGACGCGACTGCTAGTATTGTAGCGTGCGTTTACCCGTGGTCAGGCCAAGAGAAGAGAAGAGGTGGCCGTGTATACGAAGGGCGAGTCATCGCCGTGTAGTGGAGGAGCGAGAGCGCACTCCATTTATCCTTCCCGTCGGACTATAGCTCCGGCACCCTCGTATCAAGCCGTGACTGTCTCGGACCCTTTCTTCCTGAGGGCCTGCGAGGTTTATATTGTGTGTGAGAGCGTGGCAGCCTTTGCTCGTGGCTGGTGACGCTGGGTTTCCGTCAGTTGACTAAGCAGAAACACGGTGCACAGAGGAAACATCAACCCGGTGCAAGGGAAAGGTCCTGGGCCTTCAGGTTCTAACCCTAACAAGGCCATTGAGTCATCGGGACTTGGTGGGTGTTGTTGGTGGGGAAAGTGTGCTATTATATAATTTAGTGCGTGTTCCTACACGACAATCAGCTCCATGTTTGCTCGTGACGTCCACTGCCATTGGGACCGAAGAAGCGTGCAAGGCGTCATGCTGCTTCGGTTTTGCGTAAACAATAAGAAAGGCTCGGCGAGCAATGAGTTAGTTGACGTCGTTTACTCTGGCCACCTATCTCCGATTCTTGCCTCTTCGAAGGTGGGTACGACGCGATAAAGTTATTTGTTTGCCGCAGAAACAGTAGTGTTTGCGGAAGCAAGTTTAACAAATAAGAATGGTGGACGGCGGACACAAGGAGACAACCGTAAGTGTGATTGCGCGGCAGGATAAGCTTAGTACAGTCTGAGCAACACGGGTGTCTGCTTATAACCGGCTTCACTTTCATATATACGTGAAGATATATACTTCTCTGTCCCACCAATTTATAGGTAGTTTGGTTTTTTTGTGTACCACTCAAACATGTTAGAATGATTTGACTGGATATAATTATTTTAGGTGAGGCTCGCATCAGGCCACCGTAAAACGGTTGGTGCGTGCGCTTAATCTACGTTAGGAGCCCAAGACAGCAGAACCTACAGTCAAGATGCCAAGAACAGTCGGCGCAAAGGACATCACGCCGGGAGTACGCGTTGCGGTGGTGGTCTTCATTGACACGTTAAGTAAGGAAGGCCGCCTCCCCTACGGGACAATCGTGCGGGCCAAGAAGCTATTCAAGCTCAGCCGCGCTGCCGTCGAGACCATCTGGGGTCTTCGGGGCGATCCGGTCGTGCTGGTGCAGCCTCGGTAGCCGTGCCCGCCCAAGCCGACACGTCTCAGCACCTAGGAGGTGGGTTAGCGTGTTGCGACCGTGCCGCTCTGCCAGCGGGAGGCTCTGCGCGCTCTCGAGGCGGCATCCGCCATCTCAAGATCCACGCTGCATAGGCACCTCAAGTCCAAGGTCCTGCGGCACTTCATCTGGAGGGTCAAGCCGGCGCTTACGGGCTCACACAAGCTTCAGCGGCTGACGTGGGCTCTTGCCCAAGTGCAGCGCCCAATTGGTAGGAGTTTGCGTTATTTATTATTGATGTTAGTAATTGAAAACATTGTTTGAAATAATTATTAACTAATATTCTCCAAAGGCGGACTTTTGTATCGTTTTGATGCTATGTATGATGTAGTTCATAAAGATGAGAAGTGGTTCAATATGTGCATGGCGTCTTCTTGATACTACTTGGCTGCTGACGAAGCACTACTTTACCGTTCGTGTTCAAAGAAACGCAACATCAGTAGGTAATGTTTCTCGCAGCCGTAACAAGACCCAGGTATGATTTTTCACGAAAAACATGGTTTGACGGAAAGAATGGGATCTGGCCCATTGCTGAGCGCACCAAGACAACAAAAACTTCCAAAAATCGAGTTGCCGGCACGCTGATTACCAAGAATATCAGCATGTCAAGAAACGTACATAGAGATGCTCAAGGGAAAAAGTTTTTCCAGCTGTTCGTGCAAAATGGCCGGGTATTTTTTTATTTCGAATGTACTTTTGATTTATTTATCTGAACAAACTTTTTTATTTACGTATACAGGTCCCAAGACTTCTGTTATTCGTGTCCAACAGGATAACGCAGACCCGCATGTGGAGGAAGATCATGGTGAAGCCCTCGCCGCTAGTAAGGAAGATGGCTGGAATACCGAAATGTTGTGCCAGCCACCTCGCTCTCCAGAGTGTAATATTCTTGATTTGAGGATTGTTTTAACTCTATTCAAGCGATTCAGTATCGACAACCAACAAACCAGATGGATGGGCTCATGGAAGCAGTAGGTAACGCTTTATACAGTGTTAAATACCAAACTATTGAGAAATGCTTCCTCACTTCGCAAAAAGTGTTGGAATGCATTATCACTAACGAAGGAGGCAATGATTTTCAAGCTCCCTCGAGTTCGTAAGACTGTCGGTCCGACTGGTCTCGGTCCAATGTCACTTGCAACGACAGCGTCAACTATTGAAAATGGCAACAAGGCACTGACGTCTCAGATTCTTAATCAATAGAGCCATTTTTTTAAATCTGAGCATTTATTCTTTAATTCTATACCCAAAACCTTGATAAGCATTGATTGGATAAAATTATCGTGTGATTTGACCGAAATCAGTATAACAGGTACTAAAACCTTACATATTTCAGTGCCTAATACGGCGTGCTCCGCATGTTTCTGGTGCGTGTGCTATTCCGTACAGAGTCGCCAAGTCGGAGCAATCGCGTGGTAACCTTTTTGTTCAATATCGCTAATTTTCCATGGAATTACAAAAAAACTTATTGCTTTCAGAGTTGCGTTTGTATTTGTGTTGTTATTTACTTGTTGAAAACCGTTATAACATTGCAAAAAATACGGTTAATAGCGCCCTACCATAGGCTTTACAACGTGGGTACCCTGGGCTTTAGCTTGTTTGTGTAGGCGAACTTATGATAGAAAAACCCAACTGCCTTTAAATTGGTGGGACAGAGAAGTAGAAGCGATTTTGGGCTGGACAATGTTAGGATACGACCACCGCTAAAGATTGCGCTCGCATGCTTTGGCGCACACTATGCAACAGAACCAAGCGAGACTACCCTGGACCGATGGCTCAAAATCGACCACAAGAGGGCCATTATACGGCGGTCACCCATCCATGACTCAAGGGCAGCTAGCTGTGTAGGTGGCGAAGCCGTATAAACCCCGCATCGAACCCGCTCGAAATGCAGTCAGCGACATCTTGAAAAACGCAACAAAAAACATTCGTGCCGCGTGGGCGACGACGACCAGCAAACCCTACCAACGTAACCTCCCCTCTGCTAGAAAAAAGGCTTGCCGCCTGGATCATGAACCGGAAGAGCCGTAATATATGTTTGTCCAGGAAGTTGATAACGATGACGTGCTGCTGCTAGTTTGTGACGAGTGGGATCCCAACTTCCCGAACGGCTAGCCGACGGCGTTCATGCAGCGCTGCAGACGGCGCCTTCACGTTCAGAACGGCGAAGCCACGTCTGCCGACCACGAAGCAGTTCGGATCGGACGGCAGCAGATTCAACAGGTAACCGATACATATGCATCACGGGATTATTAAGATATAGATGAAACACGTTTGGGCTACGCTATGGCTCCGACTCGCTTGATTTGCACCAACAAAATGCGCGGAGTGAAAAGAAAAAAAAACGCGGAGCGCGCTTGGCATGACCGCAAATGCTTACGACTCTCATGCATTCCATAGTATGTACCGTGGGCAGCCAAAACCTATGCTTCAACAAGAAGTCGGCTAAGGGCCGGGGCTTTAACTACAAGGCTAACACAAAAGCATGGATGACAAGAGTCATCTTTCAGGAGTGGTGTTCGTGTCGTTGGCCTAGAGATGCGAGCAGCGGATTGCCCTATCCTGTTGCTCATCGACTATGCGTCGTCTCACGACATTGGCGGTCTAGTACTGACTAACTTAACCATGCGGCACATGCCGCCCAGCACAACCGCCTTTCTCCGGCAATAAATGCTGACATCACAGCGTTGTTCAAGGCAAAGTGAAAAAACGCCAACTTCGCTACGTCTACAAACAGACTGTGAGCCCGGAATCATCCAGAAAGACCCAACCCGATTTGCCAGTTCCAAGCAATGAAGATGAGCGACGCGGTCTGGCGTGGAGAAACCAGATAGGACACGATCAATAATTGCTTCCGCTATATCGGCGTCTGCTATCTGGGCACCAAGGACAAAACAGACGACGTTACGACGGAGATGACGTGCAAGTTGGTAAGATCACGCTTCGATTATCAACCATGGGAGTTAGAACTTTCAAATCTTATCACTTCAATAACACATGTGCCTTCAGATAATATGAGTACCCACGTCTCGGAAGCGGGCGCGGGGTATGGCCATTTTTAAGGACGAAATACGCAAAATGTCCTCCATAAAATTAGTCAGCACCGTAAAATCACATGTGCCACCAAGATTTAAGTAGGATATAGATCAGGTCAGCATAAGCCTGCTAAGTCACATTTAACTGGAGCATTGTTGGTGTGTGTGAACACCACACCACTGCCACTTGGAAATGCTGCCCTTTTCGCCATAAGCACCGCGGTGGAAGGTGTCACTCTGCGTTTCAAATACTGACGCAAAATAACTTGTTTTTCTTTGGGCGGCGGCAAGACCCCGCAGATTGTATTGGTGCAGGCCTGCACGCTGTCTTGGTCGCTTGGGCTTTACGGGTCGTACAGTAGACCTTCGCCGCTGCTTAAGTTGATCATGACGGTACCAGTGAACGCCTCGAATATTCACTGGAACGAGAATTTTTCCGACGGACACACGAATAAGACTCTCATTAAGCCAAACCTCGCTCGTACTGGCAGTACCTTACACCTTCACGCTTAGAACGGCAGAGTTGCCGCAAGTCATATCGACCCTTACCCCCAAGCGACTTCGCATGATGGCAAGCATTGTGGCGTCTCCTAGCCAGCCATTTGCAGCCGGGTCCAGTAAAGTAACCGGTTTAATTGACAGTAATCGTTAGCCACCTGGTTGTAACCACAGTAAAAGTAGATACAGTACCAATAGCGGAAGTTTTCGGAGGCGCGGAACGACTTCCATCGGGTCCTTGGGCACCTGCAAATTCTTCGAACGGGAACGTTAGCGAGTTTATCCAACGAATCACCTTGTCGATAAACTCGAGGGCGCGAGCCGCGCGATGCCATCGGCGCATGATACTGAGGGAGCTAGTAGTAAGACCTCCAACGTTATCCAGGGCAGCCAACACGCCTTCGTCACGTCTCCCTAGGTGCTGGCTTCGGGCCGCGGCGTCGTGACCTACACACACGTGGAGTAAAACTCATCGGATGTAGTTAGTGGATCTCCTTGGGAGGCGTGATCGAGGTTAGGACCTCGTTTTATAAGACACGCCTTGATACAAGTCGGTTCGAGCAAGGTAATAAACTTGGAAGTCTTCCGGACAGTAATCGGGTTGTACGTAGTATTTCCCGCCAAATGTTTTTCGTAGAAATGTAACGTCACCAGGACGGCCACTGCGATGACCCGACCGTAACTGGAACCGGTGACTTGAATCTGGACACGTCCATGCGGGAGGCTCCGCGCCCAACTTCCATGGACGTGCAATTTATATTGCCATTCCACTTGTCCTCGGCATCACGACCGCTCTCCTACTCGACATCATATGTGGCCTTACGATTTTCAGAGCTGTGGTTAATCGTGTTCTCTTTTTACTTTAAGGCTTTTGTGGTGTAGCGGGATCGGCCAAAATCTGGTTAAGGCCTGATCGAGCTTCCCACCAGCGCCCAGACACCGACTAACGGAGCCCCCCCCAACGATCCGTGATCGGCTGAACTTGTTCTCACCTTGTGTACCCGTCGGCGGGCTAGATCTGCTCTCTCGGGGTTTCGAAGATGCAGCACTTGGTGAGATCTAGTGTCTTGGCGTGACGCGGGGATAGTTCGTGGAGCAGCGCGGGTATCTTCGCTCTGCGTCCGAGTATAAGCTCCGATCGAGGGTTGTTCGCTGTGCTCGGTCGGCCTGGAGTAGATCCAAGTCCTGTAGTCGCCTTTCCGGGTGTGATCCGTCCTCTCCTGAGTTGCTTGTCGCTTCCTATAGCGGGATCGAGGTTGATCGAGAGAAGAAACGATCGCCGGTAAGCACTAATATCCGGTCGATCGAGGACTTGCACACAAGAGATAGATCACTAGGCTGACCAATGTATTAATCCAGTCTTAACCGTACCGCTAGTTCACTACTCAAAGTGTCGACGTTGCCGAGGCCAATGTAGTTCCTGGGACTTGGTGACTTGAGAGGACTTGTGGTCTTTGGTGCAAATTCTCTTCTGATTTTTGTTTAGCTGGTGTCTCTCTACCGCTTCCATCTCATCTACCATCCCACAACTGAACAACTACTGGATTCTTGTCCTGGCTTCGCCCCCATGTGCTTCCCGTCTTGGCCGATCGGCGATCGGCGATCCAGTCCGCGATTCACGATCAGCCCTCGATCGACGATCCACCATCCACAGTACTCGATCGCGATCAGTCCACTTCGGTCTTCAGCCGTCCCACTCTACGATGTCGCTCATTGATCTTGCCCTCGCGCATGACGTCCTTCGCCTTCGACACGCGCTCTTTGCATCGCGCCCCCTGGATCAGTGTGGGACGAGGCATCACCACTCTCCATGTGTCGATCAGCTGTGATCTACCTGGTTCCACACCCCGCCTACGTGCGAGCATCATCCAGGTGCCTCGATCGCTCGTCGAACCTTCTCGATCCCCGCAATCCCAGTCTTATTCACGTCGCCCTTCTCTCGATCGTCGATCCCCTTGATTTTTTGGCCGATCGGTTATGCCGCCTTTCTCAGAGAACAATTCTTGTTCTCACGCTTCTCCACACTTTGGCTTGGGTGCCATCATCTACATCTTCTTCTTCGCCTAGGTTGGCCTCCTCCAATTCTGCAACATCTCCATCTGGGTCTTTAGCATCAGCACCTTCGTCATCATCCTCGGCGTCGTCTCCTTGGCTTCTTTGTCATTCGGCAGCTTCAAGTGCCACGTCTCCGCCCACTGGAGCGCGAGCCGTCAAAGAGCGCTAAGCTGAAACGCGAATAAGCGTAACCAACATTTTATTTTTGGACGTTGCGCCCATGTGTGTTTCGTTTCGCAACACAAACGCCGGGATGTTTTGGCCGTATCACAATATATCCGCCGGATCCAGGTTGGCTCCATCTATAAAATATTTCCATAGTACCGCAACACTCGAAATTCGTAGGGTTTCAGCCTCCGAGTAGCCCCTGCCCCTTTCTTCCGGTACGCTCTGTCGTCAGACCCTCGCTCCCTTATTCAGGACAGTTGAGCATCCGACAGCGTTTTTCCTCCACCCGAGCAGCGTCGCCTTACTTTCTTGCTGCCTCAGAGACTCCACAACCGGGATTCGCGTGCCACTCCTTAAGCTTCTCAATCATCTGGCCCAACGTCCACTGGTGGCATATGCGTTTCTTAGAAGACGAAACCCATGCGGGGTGCGGCAGAAAGATATTGTTTGTGTATGGAGGAAAAGGGGAAGATTTTAAGAACGAACTGGTTTATAATTCTCGGACCGTTCCGCTACCACTAATCCTACCGGTTATAATACCGTTGCACAATAACTCGACCACCCCACACGTCAAGCCGTATCGAGTACAGAAAAACAAGATGCTTTGTAGTGTGACTTTCCTCCTACATTTGCGCCTGAACTCAATATGGCTCTTCGACACGTACCGTACACCTAAATCAATTACGATACGCGTACTTAACGTACAGTAGTTGAATATAGCGTATCGTAGATAGCCTAATACTACCATATCGGACTAAATAGTACTAGAACTTATACTACCCAGTCGTTACTATCGGAAGAACGGTAAGTATGCGGTTGCTGTTATTTCCAAGTTTGCCCTTATCATGGATAGTCAATTCTGGGTGTTCTGCCAGAAGATTGGCGACGCTGAAGTTAAAGCGTACGTCTTGCAACGGCAGAACCTTACGCTCAACGATCGTCTAAGGAATGACGAGAAATTCTTACGGAGTCGTCGCGGTAAGCAAATGCGCTTAAGGATTATGCGAAACAGCCAAACCGAACTGGATGATGACGACGATCTTGATCCACGTGATGAAGTTGAGCTGCTACAGATGTGTGTTCGCGACACCACGGCAGATATGTGTGGTCCCAGAATCGGAGCTTCTCAAGCGTGCCAGAAGTGGATACCGTCGGAGACTTGAAGTGACACGCCAAGCGCAAACAGAGATGACGCACCTTAACTACCGCAACACTCGCTATGCTGAATTTGCTGCAAATATGTATTGTGGCTTTCAACTATTTTGCCGCCCGATTTGTCGTGTTATCACGGAGTCCGATTTATATAAAATGGAGCTCCTACATGATCGGTTAGTCCAATTTAGCTATATCTGACCTGAGTTAGTAGCATAAGGCTCAGAGGGGAGGCATTCCTAGTTCTCCTCACCTCTCATGACGCATTAGAACTGCAAGACATTGGGGACAATAGTACACTGTATATGGCCACTTCGTA